CACAGATCTTAATAAACATAATATGACCACTATTTGTTTCTACAATTTCTGTGATATTTTTATTTCATTCGTTTTTGTTGTTTTATTGGTGCTTGCAGATCAACCGGCACTTGAGAAGACTCGCAATTGTATCTCTGCAGTATATGTACTTAATTTTATTTTTCCATCATACCACATACATGTTGCTCCTATTTGGTATCTGGCAGCCCAATCACATGAATTTCAGTTTGCAGTCATCTTCAAGCGCTCCGTTCAACGGCCGGCAAATACCGACCGATCGCAACAATTTGCTAAAGGGGTTTGTGTGTGCGAGTTTCCGACTCAAATTTCAAGTGAATTTCGCATACATAAGTAAGTATGCATGAATGGATTGATATTTTAAGTCACAAAGTACACTCACGATGGAATATTCATTTGTCCAACAAATGTGCGGAATGTTATAAGGGCTGATCTGCTCTTTATAATATTTATATATATTTTTATAAATTTCACGGCAGTTAAAACCACGAACTACCGAAAAACAGTCATTTGGGAGGTCTCTTATGAAAATATCACTACAAAACTGCTTAGAGGTACTTCTCTCTCGAATAGTTGGGGATTCGTTGAAACTAATTCAGAAACAGATCTATAAATGTCCATTTCGAATGTCAAGAATAGATTCATTTATATAACTGATGTTATACTGATTCATTACAACTCTTCCTCGGTTCTCATTGATTCCAATCCCCGAAATTCGTACGAATATTGTTAGGAACAACCTTAACTAACCCACGATCTATGTTGTCAATATCAGAAAACATTATATTGATGTTAAAGGACCACAGAGATATTAGCTTTAACACTCGGCTTTCTGGATATTGCTTTGATTTCAAACCTCGTCCACCGTACTACATACTGTCTTTTCAGCAGTGTAGTAATAAACTATTCGAATACATACTTGTGAAGATCCGCAATGCGATCTACGATTTACAATCAGTGATCTTACGGCAACGCATCATCGCCTGGAGATGAACGACCGCAAATGCAGAAAGTATAGAATTTACTCGTGTATTGTATATAGTAGTGGCGTAAAAATATTCATTGATGCGCTACTTTTCCCCTGCATTCATAATAAAGTATATAAATGCGTATAAAAGTATAGGGCGCTGAATTTCTCGATTTGCTCTGGACGACACACATTTGCTGCAGTTGACGCTAACGACGCACGTCCACACGCTTCTGATCTACGCGATCTGCTTTATGTGACAGATAATGGCTGCATTGTCACACCATTCCGAATCTGAGGCAAGGGAGCGCATGTATATATATAACATGCAATTATGGACACATTGAAGCCAGCACGACTGCCACAGATCGCCGCGCCCGCCACAAATACACACATATTTGAATATATGTATTGATTGCATTCACTATTTACCCTCGTTCTGTCGCTGCACTTAAACGACTTCAATTGTCGCGTATCAAAGTGAGTTCTGCTCCTCAAGTGATTGCATTAACCCCTGCGGGCTCTTGGCGGTTGCTGTAGCTCAAACAATAAACGGCTACTCAGTTCGAGTGACCGAGCCAATAATCTGTGATAGTATTTAATATGTCGTTTATGTTGTTAAATTTATAGTTTATAACATTATAATGTCCGTGTATCTGTTGCATCTGGCCGGATAAGTCTCTATACTTAATACTGTGTTGAAAAGAATACAGACTTTTATCCAGTTATAGAGATTACACATTACCTAAGTCTTGTTTTTGCCGATTTTTATTCTAAAGTTTCAAATGTCGCAACTCCAAGTATATATCTAAGCAAACAAAGTAACTAGCGAAATCTATCAGCTGTTCGGAGTTAGTTCATTGTTCATTGAATCTTCTATTTTTCGTTTTGACACCACTTTCACCAAAGGATTTGGGAATAAATTGTTATCATAAAAAAAACCAAAACATAGAAATTTAGACTCCAAGCTAACTAGTTTGATAAGCATTTAATCAATAACTGCAGGTCGCCAGTGGATCGAGAGATATCAATATCTCTGAGAAATCAGCTTTTCGTAAACTCGAAAGCGAATTCGAAACAAGCAGAGCCGTTTATCATTGCAACGAACAGCAAAATGTCAGGCAATATATGACTGAATATAATATTTAATAAAAAACGAAGCAAAAGAAGAATAGTTTGAGAGGTGAGGCATAACGAAATCTCTTCGGTACTTCTGGAGACAAATGAGTATGCTTGCTTTTAATTTATGTGAGTAATTTTCCATCTGTTTTAGTTTGACTGGAACTGCTCCATTTAAACTGAGCATGCGTACCGAATTGGTACAATTTTTTTTTACTAGATTAATACACCTTTTTTTATGTTCAAGTGAAATTAAAACTTCATATGTCAATTAATGTGTTGGGAACTGTTTGTTAACGATGCGATTTTTACCAAAAAAAAAAAATTTAACAACGAGTTTGCTCGAAATTTTTTGTTCCAATTGCACCACGGCTACGGAATAGTGGGAAATGTTGTAGAAATATTGTAGAAATGTTTTGGGGAGTCTAATTTATCACGAACACAAGTATTTGAGCGGCACAAAGCATTCAGTAGGTCGTGAAGTCATCAAAAACTTGCCTCGTGCGAGTCGTCCATCCGTCTTTGTTAACAACTATAACATCGAAAAAGTTAAGAAAAAGAAAATATCGTTTTGATGGCAGTAAAGAAATAGCAGAGGATCTCAACATCTCTTGTGGATCGACTCAACACATTTTGGTTAATATTTTGGGTATGAAGCAAGTCAATGCAAGACTCATTCCAAAAGCACTGAATCTTTTGGGAAATACGTAAATATTTTTTTGTCAATTTTGAATTTACAAGATTCTATTCATGCTTTAACAGTCGGCTGGAACTAAAGTCAAATTTTAGTCTAGAATTAACATAAAAGACCAGTGCCTCTTTTGAAAATGTTATGATTTGTGGGAACCCTCGTATTGTACATCTATCCTACACCCACATTAGTGATGATTTTTACTAAGCGCACAACCGAACTGTGTGGAATTTTATGCTCCATCCGGCACACAGATACCATAAACCCACATAACGGTGCACATAAGTGCATACACACACGAGGGATCTAGCAAATCGCTTCGAGAAACAACCGCACTTTGCGTTTTGCATTACACAATTTCAGATTTGACGGCGGCAAGGGGCCAGCGCCGCTATTGTTGTTGTCGCTACTGCTGCCAACGCATCTGCATTTTGATTGATTTCGGTATATTACCGTTGCAACGCTTGCTGCGTGCCGCTTGCGATATTATTTACCGCACCATGTTGTATAATATTTATTAGTGTATATGTCTATGTGTGTGTGTTCGCAAAATTCATTATATTATTGCAAGTGTTGGCGTAAAATGCATTCTACAGTCTGGCATGCATATTTTCCATACTTCGGCACGACCCACAATTCTTTTAGAGAATTCTATACACTCACGCTTATTTATGGTGATTTGTTCTCCGGCTTTGCACTTGGGAAAATTTATAGCTCATGTAGCTGTAAAGTGTGGATTATGAACATTCTTTATACACCATACGTACATAAACTACCGCGCACAAGCACTTATGCAACCAGAGCCAATCTATGGAAACCGATATCGACCTCGTCGCGCTGCATTCCCCGCATTTGTTATGACGGCAATTACACTTGACTCCAGTTATGAATGGAAATATTTCAGTTATTTTAAACGCATAGTGCCTTATTCATTATTAGGAAATATGTTTTTTAGATTATGCTGGTCTGATGCTTATATTTGAGAATAGATTTGGTTCTTTTTGAATCTTGAACTCAGTTAGAAGTATAATATTATCGATGAGTTCGCTAGACTATCACAGAAACCATAACTCGGCGACAAATTAGAGACAGAGTCCTAAAAGTTCTGCTCTCAGAAAACGGACAATGGATCACTGAAAATATCACACGGGATTGCTCGGAAATATAGACAAAGTTGTCTTCGCCTGCCAGTCGCTTAACCGGAACGTTGGAAAATATTTTTATTTACTACAACAATAAAAACATAGACGGGTCTTTTAATATACCTTTTGGGTCTCCCTTACTCATAAATCATATGACAACAATAAATAAATACTAGAAAAAGTTCTGAAACCTTAAGAAATAAGAAGCGGATTTCAAAAGTACTCTACTGACCTCGGGTATTTGTTTTTTTTATCTGATTTGAAATTTCGATATAGGCATTACTGATTCTATGGAAAATAAACTAAAGTAAATTTTCAGTGAGATCAGATATTAAGGCATAAGACTTGAAATGACTTTATTTCGAATCCTTTTTATAACATTTTAAACAGCTAAGATATCTTAATATGAAAGTAAGGACAGGTGATAGGATTAAATATTATTGAAGCCCTAACATTAACGTTTCCCAAACTTTATTGTTTCCAAAAAGCTTGATTTTAAAAAGGTTTTGAAATAATGTAGCTTGAACTATTATATTATAAATATGGTAGAAAAAGTAATAACGGTATCTCGGCACTGTCGAAAACCACAGTTAGCTTTTGGTTAGACAAGCAACTAGACACTTATAGTACAATAGATCTTCGTTAGATTTTTGAGCAAGTCTCTTAACAGATATGTGGTATATATTTTGAGGCTATGTGACAAAGGGAATGTTTGACAAGTTTTATTCTGAATGAAAGCGGAAACTTATAAGTCCCTCCATCAAAGGCCATTGCAGATTTTATATTGTCTAACGCAGCTAACCAGTAAAAGTATGAGATTAGACCCTTTTCTAGTAATTCTGCAGTCTACTGCGACAAAGTAAATGAATCAGGATAACCTAACCAAATAGTTCAGATATCGCATTTAAGGTGGTGGCAGTGCCATCATGCCCCAAATAGATAAGTACAATATACTTGTATGAGTAAATCTAAACTTACATTATTGATTGTTTACAAAACTTTTCGTAATTGAAATATTTTCCTTCCGATTGCTTGTATTACATATATTATAATAATAGTTTACCTTTTTAAAGACACCAATCGGCGCTGATAGTGACGTGACTCGGTGTTGGGAACTGCAAATAAAAGAGGAAGAGAGAGAGAAGAAAGAAGAAAGAGGAAGTTAGTATTATATGGCACAAGGAAAACATTATCTCTGCATAAATGTGTATTTAAAAACGCTAATATTACTGTTTGTAGTGTTACAACAGGTAAGACAATCAAGTTTATAAATTATAATAAGTTACAACACTTAATAATTATAGTAAATTATGGCATTAAACAGCTGACGGCGATTGCCAACAGGAAATTGTTTGTAAGTTAGCAAGCACAACTTTAGCTGGGACGCATGAGCACATAGTTATACATGCAAACATACATACATACATACATACATATAATATGTACATATGTATATATTTTTGTACGTAAAACAGAGAAATTAGGCAGAATTAGTTGGCAATTCGTGTGAGTGAAGCTAAGTATATATCTATTTATATACATATACGTTTATTAAACCCTGAACAGGGTATATTAAGTTTGTCACGAAGTTTGTAACACTCAGATAGAAACGATAGAGACCCTAAAAAGTTTAAGTATGTACATTAGCGAGACGAACTGAGTCGATTTAGCCATGTCCCTCAGTTTTTGAGATATCGACCTGGAATTTTGCAGACTGCTATATTATTGGACTACTATAGCATATAGCTGACATAGAAATTGATCATTCAAATTCAAGTTCTTGTATGGAAAACTTTTTTATGTGACAAACTATCTTTACGAAATTTGGCACAGATTGTTGTTGAAGACAGTTCTACAATCTCACAGCTTACCGTTCAGATCGGACTACTATATTTTATAGCTGTCATAGAAAATGACCGGAGTTAACGCTTTTTCTTGTTTTCAATTCCAATTCCTCAATGTATATATAATACATACATACGTATACCTGTGCTATATAAACATAGTATGTTACAAAGGTATAAGCCTATCATATCACTACAGGCAGGTTTTTACAATTAAATAATTACAGTTTCTACAAAGTTAAAAAATTAATATATAAGTATGTATGTACATATTAATATACTCGTTTATATGTATTTTTTCAAAGCGTATCACTTGTACTGCGTCTCAATTTAATATTTCTGTATAAAACAAGAATGCATTACAATAATTATCAATCGATAATTACATGCGACTTTCAAGGCAATCGAGTACAAGAACGTGAGTAACAGATATTTACCGTTCTTGTTGGAATTTACAATATTTATTTATTTTTTCTTGGGAGAGTTGAAACACTTTACTATAAACCAAACTCATGAATAGGCGGATATTGGAGAATTACTTTCAATTGCAGAAAGAAGTGGTTTCTAACAACAAAGTACCAACTTCTTGAACCATATACATTTGTACAGTTGTATGTATGCACATATCATTAATGTATGCACTTAAAATACTTTCGAGTGGCCAACACAGTGGGCAGCTGGTGAGAAATGCTAATGCAATAATTGCCGAACGCAATTAAAAAAACTTTGCATACGTGCCAACAACAACACAAACTAAGCAAATTATATTACCCATATGCATTACGAGTATTTAAACGTCGGCAATTACACACAATTAATCTTATATTAGCATAGTCGCGCTTTTTGAATGCACCTTATGTAATATTAAATGCGACAGCGAATTATATACATATTTGTACATACTTACAGAAATATGTTAATCATGCGTACGAGTATGATATTATATGCCGCAACCTAAATTTTTATTTATTTGCGGATAATATGTTAGCAAAGCGGTGTTAATTGGTATGACATACAATAAGTCTCGAGAGGTATTTGTAATTTTGGGTCTGTCAGAGTATACCACATATGTCAATGAAAGGAAAAAACCCGAATGTTTTTGTTACTTATTTATCATGAAATATGTGATTTCATAATCTAATTTTGAGAAGCTTTGATTACAGTTTTTTCTCAAAGGGAGAGAACTGTAATTGAATAGCTTGTTGTTTGTCTTGTAACGCCAGAAATCATACCGAAATAATTATGACGAATGCTACCGAAGTCTACAACTGAAGTCGTTCGGCCACTGAAATATGTGAAATATGAATGTACGTCTCGCTATATGAAAATGCTGAAAGCAACTTGGAGATAATTAACGGAATGCTACAGATCATAAAAATCCTTCCAGTGTATTTTTGCTATAAAGAAGATTCCGACAGTATTTTCGACAGTGTTTGAGTCGAGTTGACTTATCTCTATAGAGTTCATTTAAGTTTTTTTCAACATTTTCAAAACGAAACTTCAGATATAGGGATCTGCCTAACCCGAGAGGACTTATATTAGATCAATACCTTTGACTCCACCAAATTCCTCAAACCCAATTACAATACATGTAAACTACAACAACATCTCTAGTATATGCAGATAAAATTTTTGCTAAGAATTACTCGGAAAAGATTGACGAACGTATCAGTTTTAATAGCGCATGACAAGATAATAGAAGCTGAAATTAAATTGTATCATCATCTGCCAAACAGGGTTGAACCTTTCTTGGCAACAGTAAAGTGTTCTCCCGACCAACATATAAAGTAAATACGGTCCATGACAACACCTGCCATGAGGCTTTGCCTGAATTAATGCGAAAGCCATAATTCCATAATGGGCGACGGTTCCCTAGAGGAGAGTTTTTTAGTGACCTGCAAGTAGCACATACCATTGCTGTAACGACACAATGACGATGCGGAAGGTATTTTTTTGAACCTCCCCCGAAAAACAAAAATCAGGCTTTGTAGGCTTTGAAGGTTAGATTATGAAATTTAAGACTATATGAATGATTACAGTTCTCTTTGCATGCGGTTAATATAGCACAAGATGAATATATGATACATGTAAGTACATCATTTACTTGAGCTTTATAATCACTACGTAAGCCAGAATCAAGTCCACAATGGTGAAAAAGGCGACAACTCTAAATACCGAGTGAATCAGCAACTACAAACCTTTGCTATGAGAATATTCAATACAGTAAAAAACTCGTCTGTATGAGAGAGACTATGTTGAAAGTTGACTTCACATATTTTGGCAATTTTTTAAAGTATCGCTTTCAAGCTGCTGATAACAGTAAACTAACTTACAAAAGCAAAGCTTTATATAAAGTTGAACTCCGATGATTGTTACACTAAAATATCTAAGGTAAATACGACAAAAAATTTAATTCGTTTTCTAACAACGAAGTACGGATATAAAGTCTTTCCAAACACAATAATTTCTTTTATGAAAGTTTCATCGAAATCTTTTTGTTTATTCAAAAATATGTGAACTAAAGTTGATATTAAAAATTGAAAATAGATAAGAATTTAGATAAATTATTTTCCTACAAAATTAAAATTGAACTACTATTTACATTTAATTTCACATTTATACTTAAACGTAAAACATATGTACTAAATTTAACCACTGCTTTTAGAAAAAGCTTGATTTTTTTTGCAAAACAAATGTTTACCTACGAACAATAAACCCTGCTGGTAAATTCAGTCGTGCGGAATCGCCTGAATGGTGTGATATGAGGACTTTTGCATGCCACATGCCACATGGGAAATATTTTAATTTACATATGTAAATACATATGTATGCATACAATGTAATACATCGTGTGGCACCAAATCCTACGTGCATTATACATATGTACTTGATGCTTACACAATAACATCTATACAAAATTGCATAAAGTACGGGCACTACGCTTGCTCGATGGACGCCTGGTCCGCCAGTTGGTTGCTCGACCATATGCTTGCGCTCTTTCCAGCTGACATGCAACATATATAAAACTACATGCATATACATACAAATATTATGAAGGTACGTAGTTCGGTATGTGGCACACGGAACTTTTGGCAGCAACGTGCAACACAGCTGTGGAGCCAGGCACCGCCATTAGACATGTGTGTTTGTAAGCCGCTGAGGAGATGGTGTCGTAATCGTTGCGATAGTGTTAAACATTGCGCTAAACTATTTCTTTTATTTTTTTATTTTTCATTTTTTTTTTTGTTTTTTTTTTTCTGTACACAAGTACGGAAATGTGCATAATGCCGAGAAATCCCTTTTCAAAATCCATTGAAAAGTGTTGGCATGAAATGTGGTAAACATTTTCGCAAAGCTTTTTGCCGTCAATGAAGTTGGCTGTGGAGCGCATTATCGTTGTTGTACCTCTGTTGTACCACAAGTGGAAATCTGAGAATAATGGAGGTGGTACTTTGTTTTAGTTTTTATTTATTTCAGACAATTTTACCTTGTTAAAAAAGTTAAGAATGAAAATAACTGGATTTAAAGCGAAATTTGTGAGGAGTAATGAAATGCGTAAGAGCATGTACAAGTACATATCTATACATATTGGTTTATGTAAATATATAATTAATACATTTACACCTAGAACTTTAATGTATTAAATTAATTTAAATAATTTCCTAGAAAATTATACAAATTCGCATAGCAAATTGGATAAATGCATAATAAACGAAGAGAAATGCAGAATTTGGGAAAAAATAAGGGTAACAAGTAAGAAAAGGCTAAGTTCTGGTTTTTGTTTTGGCAAAACTTTAATTGAAATTAAGGAAAGTATCGCCATGATTTCATTCATTTAAGGAAAGAGGATACACTATTACTAGAAAGAGATTATTTCTGAATTTCATTAAGATTTCTTAATTGCAATAGGTGCGGTATAAAGCGAACCGGACGTTCGAAAATATTTATGTTAGGTACATGGGGGTTAAGGGAAGTGTTGACCTGCTTTTATCCATTTCTGCCATAAGTTATACTTGTAGTGCGATTTCCAAATTTTTGGACGTGATGTGAAATACCTTGAGGGCACTAATTTCACTGTAAAGTGAAAGAATCAAACGGAATTAAAAAGTTTGTTAAAGGTGGGCGGTGTCACGCCCACTGTCCAAATTTCAAATCAGATTCCATAAAAGCCTTCGCTACCATCCTGATTGTGAAATTTAATGCTTGTGGCTCATTTATTCAGACAGCTAACGCACTTTTAGTGGTTTTCAACATAACCGTTATGTAGGGAG